ATAAGTAAGGAAATGCGATTTAAGGTTTAATTACACACAATTCTTCTGAATTTAATCGGTTAAGCAATTTCTAATACATAATTTGCTATAATGGAAAAACAGCTTAACTGTGGTAGATTTGACTACAATCGGTATCTCAAATCGTAGGTACGCAATGTTAGCCGTTAGGTCACAGTCCCCGGGGTGTAGGTTTCGACACAGCGGCACGTTGAATAGTACGGCAGCCAGGTTTTTTTGCATTTTTTTCCGATACTTTTCAAATATCCAGTGTTTGTTATCACACTCCCGTTATCAGTTTTCGTATACTTTTTTAAAATCCGTCAATCCGATACACTGACTTGGACTGAATTCACTCAAACATACTTTATAATATTAAATAAATGTAAAATATATTTAGACTGACTGATGTATAGTTATAAATCCAGGATAGATACTGGATATTTTATAAACGTACATTCAATGAGCAACGTTCAACTGTTCTTATGTTGTCTATATATATATATCTGAAAAGGCAGTGTTCTTGCCTTCATTGCCTTTCATATTACATAGGTATACTATGCATGTGCATATATACATATTTCTTTTTTTTACATTATATTACTTTGAGTTTTTGGTTTTGTACTCGGTAGTCACAAGGTAAACCTATAGAATAGCTATTCGGTCTCACTATAGGTTGCTCATGCTGGTAGTTAGATGTTCAATTGTAGATTATAAGTGAAACGTTTGTCGAATCAGCCTGTGTTTACAGCCACTGATACTATACTACCAATGTAATCCCCCATAGGCGTAATCTCAGGGGTGCAAAGGGGTGCACTTGCACCCCTTGGAATTTTTGAGGGGTGCAAAACTATCATTTTGCACCCCCTAAATTTTCTTTATTTATAATGTATAATTTTTCCAATATTTTAAATATTTAATATTTATAAAATAATGATAACGACGATAATAGATGATAATTATTATCACTCATGAATTGTGATACCAGATTTGTGACCACGAAATTCTTGATATGCTATCAATTAAGGGCTATCAAGTATCAATGACATAGATAATAAGGTATATTATACTATCTATGATCAATGATCATATCACAGGATTATAATATTATTCTGTGATCATATGACATATTATTATATTCTGATATTCATATTAATTATTAGAATAATATTTATATTATAGGTAGTCACTGTCCACTGTCCAGGTTTTATATCTTTTTTTTATTCTGTACCTGTGCGAGAGAAAACCGTTTTATTTAGGTACTATCTTTTTTTGTTTAAAATGTCAGAAAAGAGAAAGACTCTCGATGATTTTTTTAAAAAACCATCCAAAGTTTATGCGAGTAAGTACTAAGTAGTAAATGCCAAGTGCTTATTATTTTTTATTTTACAAGAAACAAGTTAGAAACTATTTATAATTAATAATTATTATGTACTCTAGTGTCTAATAATTTGGTAGTTACATCATCATCATCTACTAGTTCTACACAAACATCCATGTCAGGTAATTTGACTTAATTTTAAACTATTTTATATTTTATAATACCATGTGATATATAATTTCAGAAATAATTAGTTTAGCACCGTCTTGTTCTGTACCTAATACTCCAAATGTTTTTGATCAAGTCAATCAAATGTGTTCATCTAAATCAGGTAAGTATTTCAAATTGTTTTTCTTGTTCATATTTATGTGATGTCATTGTCAATGTGTGTGTTTATGTTAGTGGTTGTATTTCATGTAAATTCAAATTGTAATGAAAGTTTCAAAATAACTAATAAATTAATAAAATAAAATGTTTTGTTGATAATCATAGTATTTTGTGATTTTATAGTAGAACCTAGATACCTAGTATATGGGTATATTAATTATATATTATAGCAGTGAAAACAATTTTGTATAATGTATGTGTTTTTATAATATTTATTTTGTATATTTTTGTGCTTTATGCTAATATTTACTTGTAAATGTTGGTGAATTTGAAGCAGGAGCTTATAAAATGTTTATTACATGTTACTAATGTATTGATTAATATTTATACTTTTCACTTGGTTTTGGTTTAAGAATTAGTTATTTGTTATTAATAATTTTAATAATAATAATTTTATTTTATATATTTATTTGTGATTTATTGACAAGTTTGTACGCCTCATCCTTTTGTACTTTCATGTTTTATGTATGATTATTGATTAATTTAATCTTATTACATGTGTTTATTTTTTATACCATGTAATTTGTATAGCTATTTGTTAAAATGTGATGTGTATTTATGTTGAATAAATTATATAACTAATTATTTGTGTCTTCATTTCAATCATTTTTGTGTTATGATCCATGATATACTTGTTTATAATTTAACTTTTGAATTACATAATAACAGTCAATCTCAATTGATTCCAGAATCTGAAAAAAGTATACTTGATACACATCGTGATCCTGCAAATCATGCATTAAAGTCTGTATATAGCTTATTACTTAGTGATTTTGGACCATATCAACCCAACGATTGTGATTTTCCAAAAACTAACGGTAGACAATTTAGGAAACAGTGGTATAATACTCATAGTTGGTTAGAATATAGTCCAACTAGCAATTCGGCTTATTGCTTTTACTGTAGAGTATTCCCGTCTTTGAATAACGAAGTTGCTTTTGTTTCAAATGGTTTCAAAGCTTGGCATAAAGCAACAAAATCATTTATTTCTCACGAAAAAAGTATAAATCATATGGAGGCTGTCGCCAAAGTTGTTGGGTTCAAAACAAGCCGTTCTGTTGGTGATGTAGCCTCCAAAATCAACAGCCATCATAAAACCACTGTTACAAAAAATAGGAACTATCTGAAATGTATAATAGATACACTTTTATACTGTGCACGGCAAGGAATATCCATTCGTGGTCACGACGAATCAGATGAATCTAAAAACAAAGGAAATTTTCATGAACTTCTTCATCTTCGAGCCAAAGATAACAAATTACTTGAAGATTCTATTGCTGGTAACCAAATAGGTTATCGATATGTAAGTGGTACTCATTCTAATGAACTTTTATCTATTATGGCAAAACAAGTTCAAAGAAATATTGTAAATGACATCAAAAAAGCTAAATTATTCAGCATTTTATTTGATGAGACTCAAGACTTATCTAGACATGAGCAAGTATCGTTTATTGTGCGGTATGTAGATGATATGTTTCAACCACATGAAGTTTTCTTAGGTTTCTACAAAACCAATAAAACTGACAGTGAAACGCTCACCAATTTAATTAAAGAAGTACTTTCAAAAAATGATTTGAAAATAGAAAACATTCGTGGCCAGTGCTATGATGGTGCTGCTGCTATGAGAGGATCATATACGGGAGTCCAGGCTAGGATACGACAAGAAAATCAAACTGCCTTATATGTACATTGTTATGCACATATTTTGAACTTATGTTTAGTTGACTTGACTAAACAAGTTTCGTTTGTCAGAAATATGTTTGGCGCTATGCAAAGCTTACATAATTTTATCCGTGCATCTTCAAAACGACATGCTGTGTTTGAATCAACATTGCTGGAATTCTCGAAAAAAAGTGGTCCGTCAACATTGAAGAGTTTAAGTGATACCAGGTGGAGTTGTAGAGCTAAAGCATTAAATTCAATTTTATTAAATTATGAAGTGATAATCAAAACACTCGAAGAAATATCCGAAACTGATATTTCATGTGGTCCTGAAGGTACTTCATTATTAAAAAATATTTGTGACTTTGAATTTGTGTTTTGTTTGGTATTTTTGAAAGATGTTATGACTCATACAAATATATTATCTAAATATCTACAGTCTATAAACATGAATTATGCTGCTGTTATTAGTATGTCAACTCAAATTATAAATATTTTTAAAGAAATGCGATCAGATAAAAAGTTTGATGAAATGTGGGATAAAGTAATTGAANGGTATAAAATATTATTTAGTCTTTACAATATAAATAGAAAACGTTTATAACATTTTTCCTATGACAAATTAGATAGGTATCATCACAGTTGTACTAGTTTTGCGCAGTAGTTCACGACTAGTATAATATCGTGTGGTCGGTGGGGTCCACCGGACGTATTTTTGACATTGATGATCCTTGATTACAAACGACCATAACACTCAACCTGTTATATTTTCGATTATTTCTAGATACGATTTTATCAATTGAAATATCAGATATCTTATCGTAATGTATTACGATTAACTCATTTTTAAATGCGTTAAACACGAGCGAGCGAACACTGCGATAAATGTGTACTTTTTAATGTGACATTGTAGTGTGTGTTTCGTGGTCTCGTTGTTCGTTATATTTAAAAGTACGATCGTCTTGCAAAGCAATAAAATATGTTTCTGAATATCCAAATGAACATTATTTTAAAAAGTGACGGTCACATTTTGTATTGTACTGCTTGTGAAAAATCCATAGCAATTGATCATTTTTTTTTTTTTTTTATAATATATATTTTGAATTCTTTAGCACATATTTATGTACATATTTTTATTGTGTAAATACATACTTTGGTTATATAAATACATATAAATCCGAGCCCTAGTAATAACCTAACCTAACCGGGGGTCAAACGTCCTATGGGTAGGTATAAATAAATCTATATAACTCCCGGGGGCCAAATGTCCTATCTTAATAATAGACGGGGACGAAACGTCCGTGGACTTGTTTTTTTGACGGGGACGAAACGGCGGGGGCGAAACGTCCGCGATTCAAATAAATTTGCAAGTGAAACGAGGGATTTTGACTTTTTGTAGAAAGTTTGTAACTTTCCTGATTATTTTTGCACCCCCTGAATTTTAGCGAAATTACGCCTATGTTTATACCTAATATAATATAATAACTAACTTTAATTTATTTTAAATTATAGTTTTATCGACAAAAAAATAAAAAATATAGGTAACCGGTTTTTTTTTTTAAATTGTTGACATCAAGCAATGTATATGAGTATAATTTATTTTGTACACATGCTTTAAGACTAATCGAATATAATATACCCTAATGATGTTTTTATAGAATATTGGCCTTTAAATATAGTTTGCCTCGTTAATGCCCACCCTTGATTATATCTAACTTAGTACTTACAATGTCTGAAATTTTAAGCACTGATCGCAAATTACAATGCGAGTTCGGTACCATTCATTGTGAAGGGTACCATGTATAGTTGTTGACAGATTGTGAGTAGACAGATTGTATAGTTTGCATAATAAATTATATGCACCTACCAATATTTTTATATCATAAAATTACCAATTTTTTAGTGTCATTTTATCAATTATTTTTATAAATATTATTTACTAAAATAAAATTTCACTTAATTCATCAATGCATGCAAGATACATGAAATCTCAATGAATCTGCTTTAAAAACTTCTTATCAGTCAATTGTTCGTTCTCATTTTTATTATGCACTCCTTATCTGATTTCTATACTCAAAAACTCAAATTCAACAAAAAAAATAATCTTAAATATAGTAGTCCAAGTATAGTACGTACAATATAGTATAGTACTCCAAGTCTCAAAATATTCACTCAATGCTTATTTTAGCATTTCCTAAACATAGTATAATTTATAAAAATGTAATATCACCCTTTTTGAGCTATTGTAGCCATCAATATTTTTCTATAATCGATACTATAAAGATTTTTTTATAATTATAATTAAACAATTAAGTTTAAAAAAATAAATACAAGGTTCTCATTCTGGTTATTGGAGATATTTAAAAATACCAAGATTTTTATATAGGTAATCATGATTTTTTGTTCACAAGCATTTGAGCTTATATTTACACAAAATTTGTCGAAAACTCGAAACACAATTATTCAAATTATAATATGGTTAAAATGTTCATAACTTGTTGTGAAATTAAAATATAAAAAACCTACATGGGGACCTAGATTATGTCTTACCTTTAAATTTGATACTTAATACTCATACAGTCATACTGGTATATCATTATCTTAATAATGAAAAATATATGTATCTAAAACTTAGATTTAAGCCTTAGTGTTGAAGTATAGGTGTTCATTTTTCTTAATTGTTTTAATGTTATTTTAGAAATTAAATAAATGTAAATATTTATGTAACTGAGACTATAATGAAGATTTTGATTTTCATCGTGTGAAATATGTCAATGCTCAACAAATGAAAATGTATGCAATATATGGACACCTATAAATTTTTGTCTTGTAATTGTTTAAGAAATTTATATTCTGAATCAATACCTTTAAATGGATTTTTACAAAACTCAGAAATAGTTTCTAATGATTTTAGAATTTTAGAATCTGTACAACTAACTAATACTTTTGTTTCAATCTGCATAGCAATAGTTTTAGTTATAAGCTCTGTAATGTCAACTTGCAGTTCAATAGCTTGTTTTCTAGAAAGATTGAGTTTTCCGTAGTATTTAAGAGACAATTTTAACGCTGAATCTCTCAGTAAATTAATATTTACTTCTGGAGTATCATTTTTAATTTCATTTGAATAACTAACAGAAGATAGATCATTATAAGGTGAATTTAACCCTTCAGATACATTAATATATTTATCAGAAGAAACTAATTGAGAACTGATTGGAACATTATTAATTCCTGTTTTCATATGTTTTGCAAACGAGCGAAAAGATGTAAAACTCTGAGTACAATTAAAAATACAACATTTATATACATCATTAGAATGAAGTGAATGAGCTAATTTTAAATGAATAAATAATTTTTGTAGGTCATTTATTATCAATTGACATTTGAAACAAAATAAATCCATATTATACTCATACAAAATTATATTGAATGTTAGTTAGATAAATCTGACATTAAGGAAATAACAGCAGAACTTTTAACATCAAATTCAGTATGAATATCATAAATATAGTTTTGTAAAAATGTCCACACCAACTCAGATTCAATTGGATATTTTAAATTAAAAACATGAAATATTTTAAAACATAAATCTACAGCTTTAACAATATTGGGAATTTTGTAATATGTATTAAAATAATAAACAAAAAATTCTTTGCAGGAATCAACATACTCATCTCCTATGATGCAGATAAGCGGTTGTAAAGTTTGTTTCTTTTCGTAATAATTGTCAACTTTATTTTGAATTTGTGTGTACAAGTCGCTGGTGTTGGGGCAAAGTAATAAAAATGAATTTCGGGCATCAGCTATTGAAGTTTTGATGATACGTTTTGAGTTTGTTATCTTGTTAATCTCATACGACTTTGAAGTTGGAATTATTAGAGAATTCAATAAAGCAAATATAACAGTGTTTTTAGAATCTGTAAAAAATTACATATGTACATTGAAATTAATCGCACAACATAATAATTATAATAAGTTTACCAACCTATCCAATTTCAGAATTTTGATTACAAAGTTTCTTCAATAATTCTTTGCTGTTTGAATCTTTAATGTTTGTATGCATAAGAGATAATAGTTTAGGAATAAGTAGTGGCCATTTTTCAAATAAAAAATGTTCTTTCCCTGAGTAAATGTACTCAAAATCAATATCAATCTAAAAAAATTACCACATTTATAGTGTACATAAATTAACACGTGAAAGAAAGTACAAAAATGTATCTTAACTTTTTTTTACCAAATTATGTCCAAATGACTGTTTGTATAGGGGCCACTGTTCCAATATACTATTTATTTTGGTATCATGTTGTGTAAGAAATGTCCGACGATATTCAACAGTTTCTCGCCACTTCATTAACACATCTTCAAAAGGTTCAACATTAAACTGAAGCCATCTTTTGGTAGTAACCAATGTTTGGTCTATAAATACATACATTTATAAAGCATAATATGATATTATATAATTACAAATTAATAATATAATACATGGTTGCAGATTATCATATATTTTTATTAATCTACTAATGGTAACATTGACATATGAAATTAAATATAAAAAACTTTTCCATCAATTTGTAAAGGAGGTGATAGAGGTTGGTTAAAATTAGCTGTAGAACTGGAAGCAGTTGAATCTTTAATTAATGTCCTAGGGTAACTCCAAAGGTCGTTCTTGCGCAATTTTGTCACAGTATTGTTGTACTTTTGATACAACGCACCTTTTGGTTTACGTTTTGGAACATTCATAAAATAAGTTTCCTATTTAATACAAATAAATAGGTACAACAAATTCACACATAATTAATTATCAAAATTTATAATTATTTTAACATACCTTAACTTCAGATTTAAAATATTTTACTATAGTGTCAGCTGTATATTGTATCAACTTGGATGAAGCATGAATTTTATGTTCAATTAAATATTCTATGACAACATCTGCCAACACTTTTCTTAAGTTATCTGATAATTTACTGTGCTTTTTATAATATGTTATAATTAAACTTCCTTTTCCAGATTTATTTAAAATACCTTCAATATTTATCTACAATAATACAAAAAATTACTAAAACTACTAAGCAGAAATCAAATTTGAATAATACTTAAAGGGAAGTTAGATCATAGTGGCAAATAATATGATTTAGTAAAAGTATAGGTATATTTTAACTTCTACTACGAATAGTTCGACAACTAACTGTCCCTGTGTGCAATAGTGTGATTTTGACTTCTATGACATTGTATTTTATTCATCTCAAGTGTGATGTCTCAATTATACTTCTATGATATGTTTAAGAGACAATATAAAAATTTAAGTTATTTAGTTTATACTTAGCGACGTCACAAATAGAGTTCTATGCGACTGTAATTTGTAATATTACATAGAAATTATTGTTACCATGCAATTACTGGGAAAATATAATTGTATATATAATTGTACTATGCGATTACTTATAGATGTAACAGTGTTATAATTACAATGCGAGGTCTCTGAGACATCGTAGGGATGTACAAATCGTATCTAATATTATAATAGATAATAAAATAATAATAATAATAATAATAATATATATTATTTATAATAAGACTATAAATAGAAATTATAAAAATATGTTATAGTTAAATTGCCGCAATAGTAATCGTCGTGTCGCCGACCGCTGTGACATCCCAATTTAAATAAAGATATGATATTATTAGATAATAATATAGACCATTCTATAAAAATATTATTTTTTTTTATAGACTATAAATAAGATAACTATTTATCATTTATCACACAAAAAAAGTCCGCTGGCATCGACAATCAAATTTATTTTTTTTCGCGAACATTAATAATTTTGCGATTTCTATGTGATGTCGATGCGATGAAAATAAGTAGTCCCATGTATCACAACCAGGATGGCCCATGGATATTAAATTGTGACCACACATGGACCATTATTTTGCGACGTCGCATGCAGTAACTTCGCGTGTCTGGACATTAAGCGTCACATAAGAATCTCTGAGACATCTCTAGGCTCCAATCTTGTACTTCTCACTACTTAATGAGAGTACTATGTAACGTCTTAGAGATTATATTTTGCACACAGGGGTAACTTTAAATGTATTACCTAGGTAATTTGTATATAATATATATATTTTTAAATGACCTTATAACATGAAATGTAATTTGTCAATACAAAAAAATGAATTTAATAATATGCACATACTAATAGGAAGTACCTAGTAATAATAGTTTAGTATATTTTTTAAATTGAAACAAAAATTAATTTTCTATAGGTACTATGAGTTCACAGTTCTACTAATTAGAAAACAAATTAAAATACCTGATCTTTCAAAACTATTTGATTATTTGAGCTACATTCAGATTCTGAAGACTGCGATGTTGAAGACGATGAACTACAATCTGTATTCTGGTTCTACATTGATTGACATAATTAATAATATTATAAGTATAATAAATGATAATAAATAAAAAACATGGGCACCTACCTCAAAAGTAGTTTGCCACTTTATCAAATTATGTTCAAAAATTATGCGTTTTCCATAGTTTTCAGGAGGACATAACGTATTCAAATGATCAGAGTTCATGAACTTTAAACTTTCAACATTAATTCCATGATCTAAAATATTTATGTTTTAATGACGTTTGTAGGCATATAAAAAATACACAATTAAAATTAATTTATGTATATATATATATATTAAAAGTTAAACTTAGTACTTACTAATAAACACATTAAAAAAACAGTCTCCTTTCAACTCAATCAGAACGTCTAATAAAGCTCCTGTTTCTACATTAAATACTACTGCACTGTCTGCAATAGAGGTATTTAAATCGTCCAAGTCATCAGAATCGATAAAATGCAAGTCCGACATAATTGTCTCTATAATTTTCTTAAGTAAAAACCTAATTATACCTAGTAAGTAATAAAAAAAGTAATTACTCACCTCGATGTTTTTTAATTGAAATTAATTTTTTTTGTTTCTTAATGAAAAACAACATTCCACTACGTAATTAACACTATTTTAACTCGGTACTTTAAAACGGAAATCAGATCAAGTAACTTAATCACGAACGTCGACCACCAGGTATAATAGAATTAACCCATTAACGCCGTGCGTTGCCATATGGCATCATAGGTAGACCTATTTTTAGAAGTTTATTTCTCATTGGGAATTGTACCTACTGCTGCGGCAATAACATTATGTAATAGTATATTATTTCAAGATAAGATACGGGTAAAATCGATTCCGTTTATTATTATCATTTTGGTTATATCGTTGTTTGACTTTGTGCATTGCCGTCGTTCTACGAAAAATGGATCTTTCTTTCGAGTAAGTAAATTTTGGAATACTTTTATTGTATATAATTTTTTTTTTCTATGTAAAACGCATTTAGTACAATATTATCTATATAGTTACGTACAAAAAAATAAATAAATACTAACATTCACGTATTTATATAAGGTTGAAGTTCAATGTTGCCATTTGGCAACACTAGGCGTTTATAGGACTGTTTTTAATAGAATTTTCATTTTTTCGATTAGAAATGGGTTTTCACTCTCCGAGGCGTTAGATATTCTTTTAAATGAAGATATAGAGGGAGATATTTTTATTGAACCTCCTTATCCTCATGTTGAGTCAGATGGAGATTCCGCAGATGAGGATGGGAGTGGGTAAGTCCCTTATTTATTTTCATTTTATTCATAACCAAATTTATAAAAATACCATTTTTCCCAACTAGTTTCGTTGACAATCTCAGTTCTCGGCAATTGTTAGCAAATGCTGAAATTCGGTTTCAAAACAATGAACGTTTAGGCGTTAATTATGAAGTCAGTCAAAATAATATTTCTCAAGTTCATACTACACGTGAAACTTCAATCGTAGGACCTAATCAGTTGTCGGATAAATATAAAAAGTGGATGAGCACTCGTATAAAATCGAAACGTAAACCGTGTTGGATAAAGGAGGCCGACTTTGATATTGAAACGACAACTGTATTTCCTAAACCCGACTACTCAAAATATCAAAATATGTCCATAACCGAAAT